GCGCGCGATATTCGTCCCGGTGTGAACAAGTCTTAACGCTATATGAATTTTGCATTGATTTTTAAAAGCTGTCATTTTGGTCGAAAAGATCCATCAAGCAAGAGACAGAATTGAGGCTTTCCAGATCAATAAAGACTTAGCTTCACCGATTTGCCTCTATATACGGGAATGGACGACATTAAACTGCTTAACCTGTTTGTTAAACCAAAACTAACTCGTGTAGATCAGCACCGGCGTGTAACATTATAGCGGGGCTAATCAGAGACCTCTGCATCCCAAAACTAAGGTGGAAAAATAGGCCCTGAATAACAGCAGTTCATATTATAAGCAGTTTTGTATGACTTGTCTTTATATGATTCGTCATAGTTGTGCACTTATTTAACAAGTGCGTGTCTAAAATAGACAGTTTACTCTTAGCTTTAGTATGAATTGAATATGACTTACGTTAAAGGTTGTGCAGTGGGCTATAGTCAGTCACGCTCAGCGGCGGGAAGTCGAGGAGTCTATAACCAACCATGTGACTAATAACGTGTCAGAGGGCATTGTGGGAAATGTAGTTGTCTCTTCTTCAATGACAGCACTGCGTAGATTAAACCACCACAGTAACAACACACATGTTGTTTAACGTAATGACGTTAATGAAACTCATATAAATATAGATTATTTTTGATATAATTATAGAAGACTTGTTGGATGATGGTGGAAAATTCCTCTGGATTTTTGCCCTCTGTAGTTTTCGTGCAGTGTTTTTATCAACTCTATTCTTAAAGAATCGGTTGAGTAAAAGATTCAATTCACCCACTTTTAGCAATAAAATGGAAAACCAATGTAACCTGAAAACGAATAAGAAACAAATAAGTGAACACATATATTTAGTGAACATATTCAAAAGAATCTAGTCAGTGGGATAAAAAATCAAAATAACAACTACACACACACACACACACATAACACAATATATATTATTCAACAATATATATACAGGGCTTGACATTAACTTTTTTTCCACTTGGTTTCCACTAGCCATTCAACATTTTCACTGGCTACAATTTTGTTTTTATTTTGTTTTAATGAAAAGATGCAGTTTCTTAAGACATAAAAAGAGTAGCTTAATTTTGTCTTTCACCTTTTCACCGCAGCACTGTCGTACAGTCAGCACAGTTCATGATTCTCTTTGCTGGATCACATGCCAGCCATTCTCAGCTTGACTTCCACTTTTCATAGAATTGTCTTTTTTCTTTGTTTTAATATATTCACAAGGGTATCTGCAGGATATTTAAATCAAATATAAGGCTTAAGACCTTTTTAAAGATATATATATATATATATATATATTCACATTGGCAGTCCTATATCACTTCCGAATCAAAATTATACACAAAACTACCTTAATTGTGTGTTTTTGGATTAAAAATTGTACTAAACGACCTTGAAATGGGTTTAAGAAAAACTACACTTCCCATCTCTCGCAAAGTTCAAACGCGCATGTGCGGTAAGCGCTATATCCTGGTACGACCTTCTCATATAAAAAGGCAGGGATACGAGTCAGAGTTCGTAAGAGAATAGGAAACCAATGATTCCCATATGTCCAGTAGTTTCCTTCACCTATGGTGAGTAAAATTGGGGTTTTAAAAGCACACTGAGACAGCAGACGCGATTTAATCGAGAGAGGATGTGATTAAGACCATGTTGTGGGTGTGTGGGGATCGTTTGGGTTTATTTCGTCGTAGTCTCTCCTGCGTGTTTTCGTCCTCCGCATGATACGGCTCTTCATCATGGTTGCCATTGCACACAGTCGCTTACCCTCCATGAAT